TTTTAACCGGACTTAGCACCAACTAAGTACGGTACCAGCTAAGCCGTGTATACGTGTGAACGCAGCTACTCAGGGTTGCATATATATCAGGAGTAGATATAATATATCCCTCCTGATACTCCTGGTACTCCTGATATATATATTACACTAGGTATATCTATTCGTGAATTTAAAATTGCTAAATAACCGCACTAAGAGTGCAAACTAGTCTAACTAACCTGTGTACTACAAAACGAGAACGCTGAACTATATAGGATATATGTACAATACAGTACATATGAATCATTATCACCTCTAAAATCTATAAAACCACGTTCAATCTACAAATCACATACTTTATAGTTTGGGTACGGTAAAATATTCCTTATTATGTAATGCAATAAATGCATACAATAATACTATCCATAATAACTTGGAAATAATACTTTAAACTAATAAAACCACATGACGAAAACACGTGTGAAATAATTATACGTACAGAAAAGCATTCATTTAAAATCGAATATATTGTGTTAAAGTTGTTGTAGAAGGAATTCAAAAGTAAATAAACAGTTGGCATTTTACATTTACATTGAAATTTCTTTTATCTAGCCTCTGAACATTGAATAACACAGACGATAACTTTTCCTCGGAATTCTGCCCAACGAACCAGTCTAGTGCGACATGCAACTAGTGCGCTTTATGAGATCACCCGCACAAAAACTCGAACACTTAAATGAGCAAAAAAGTAAATACATGTTTCTAGAGAAGAAGGGAGGTGGAGAAAGGGGTAGAGGTGGAATAAGGGACAATAGAGAGAGAGAGAAAGTAAGACAGAGTGAAGGAGAAAGAAAAAGAGAGGAGTGGAGGGAAAGAGGAAGAGAGAGTGATGGAGGGGGAGAGAGATATCAGGAGAAAAACCAATTGTTTGAACAAAGCCTTGACAACATTCTCCAAGTCTTCCAAGTCCAACTGTAAAATTTTCACACATAAAAACAATTCCAAACATAATAAAACAAGTGGAGATACATCTAGCTTTCTACGGAGGACTATTATTTTCAATATCTGGTATCTATAACAAACATCTATAGTGTCTCCTCTACCGGCCTGAGTATTCTCCATTGCTGTGTCTTTTATTTATTAACCTAACCATTAATTTGATTCTATTTGACCCGGTAGTTACTTGGCATGGTGCCAGGTTATGCCTAGCCGAGTCTAGTTTGCGTTTTGTCTATCGACTCAACTTCGTCAACTTGAGTTTTCAATTTGCCGACACCTGGCCCGAACTTGCCGATGAAGGTTTTCAACTTGCCCACTTCCGCTCCGACTTTCCTGACCTCCGACCTTCCCGCGCCTGCCAACCCAGCTCGGGCGACCTCTGGTTTCGGCTCGCCGACACCAGCGCCACCTGCGTCGCTGACCGCCGACGCCGACTTGGTCACAGAAGATTCGCAGACCTTGCATATTTTGCCGATGCCCTTGTTTCGGCCGTCGCGGAATACGAGGCAGCTGCCCACCTGCAGGTACTCTGGCTGTCGCATGAAGCGAAAGCGCACCGTCGCACGCTCGTTAGTGTGCAGCAGCTCCTGCAGCAGAGAGAGAGAGAAAGAGAGCCGTGACCCACCGCGTCAACTACAACATACTCATTCTACATTCCGGGGGGGGGGGCGTTGTAGGAGACATCGCACAAATGGTGAGCCTAGAATGACAATACTTTTGAAGTGAATTGTTCAGGGAAGCTTCGTGTAAAAAGTAATGACATTTTAGACATATGACAGTCAACTATTTACGATGTTTCTCACAATGGGTTCAAGTCCAGGCACGTTAGCAACGATATACCTACTATTCTACCCAAAGACATTTCATCTCGCAATGTTTGGAATTTAATGCAAATTCGCCCGACTTTTACAAACCAGTATCATGTTCGAATGTACGATTTCCAAGATACAAGAAAATAACCTGTGCAACGTTTTTTGACTTCGTAGACCGTTGTAGATGTTGTTATAGAATAGTGGGACCAGTCACCCTGCTACTCTGACACCTCATCATGATACATGCTGAGCAACACACACGGACAGTGATATTCAACAGAACGTTAATTAACTAAATCCTAATTAAGATCAACCTAATCCTGATTCAGAAACCAGTTTACCATGCACTTTTACGTAATGTATTGAAGTATACTTTAATCCGCTCACCTTGTCCATACTGCTGATGACTGCCGTCTGACGAACATTTCCACAGTAGACTGTCGCCTGCGAGTTCTTGCTGATTGCAGTAAAGTGATAGAGGATGTAAACCTCTGCATCAAACTCCCAACAGGAGGAGGGTGACAGACTAGGACTGACTAGAACCATGCCCTGCAGCAAACGTTTGACGTCCTTCAATCATCTCATGAACCCAAACTCTTTCTTTATTATTTAATATAAATGTATATATATATAATTAATATAAATGTAACATTACATAAAGTAACATTATTTATAGTTTTTAAATATTTATCTATTTTTTAAATATATATTAATTTGATAGTTTTCGATATTATAGACTAATATTAAAATAAGCTTAATGGTGACTCATATAAAAGAGCTCAATTACATGTACGAAACGGCAGACTAACCCACGTGCAAATGACTATTAATCTTTATATAGGTATAGAATAGAAATGACTAGTGCATTCAAAATTATTAATTCAAATATCACATCTCTTTCAATATGAAAAAGATGTCAAAATATATATTGTACGAATATTTTACTCATAAATAGTTGTCGTTCGACCTTACTTTCCACAATATAAATATTCTGCTCATAACTAGATGCATCTAAAACTTTGCCATATAAATATGCCATTAATCATTAAATTTCACTCCCCCCCCCGGCATAAATATGTATCACTCGTAGATAAATGTCGAGACTCTGCGATCTTACCTTGCGGGTGACGATGTTGTCGCTGTCGGCTAGAGCGAGTGTCGCAGCCTGTCCCGCACGCACCACCCTACACGGAGCCCTATTCCTGTGCAGGGATCGCACCTGTACCAGCTCAAACTCTCCGGCGTCTGTGGGTCCCAGTAACAGCTTACTGCCCTCACACACTACACCCCTGTGACAACAGAATACATATACTCACGTAACACCGAATATCGATAGTTTGGATTCTTGATTGTGATCACGCAAATCAAAAAAAAATATGCATAGGTGGGCAATATGTGAAGTGTGTTATAGCTTAGACACTATAGTCTCAATTGATGCCGTAGTAAAAATTACGGTACACGCAGAAATTTAAAATGCACATGAGTTTAGGACTATAGATAATATTATATATTATATATATATATATAATAGGGGTAGAAATTAGCTTTTGAACAAGGCAGTCCAACGGACTCTCTGCCCTCAAAAAGATGGAGTCCGCGACTAAAGGAGAGTCCGCAGTCTGAAGTTCAAAACTAAAGATATTTAGAATATTAATAAAAAACGTATGTGTTTATTTTGAAGATTTATGCGGTTGCACGTCTGCCAAATTTTCTTTGGACATTTGCTGAAGAAATACGGTAATTTCGCGTGGAAATAATAAAGAGGCCGTGCTCTGGAACGAACTAATTATTATAGTAACTATTAGTAACTATTAGTATAGCAGAATTGGAGTCACACGGACTCCTCCATATGTCAAATCAGGGAGTCCGTCTGTAAATCAGGGAGTATTTGACTCCGGACTCGCGTTAATTTTGCACCCTGTATAACAAATAAATTAATATATATATATATATATATATATATATATGATATAAATACAATAACGTAGCATTTATTTTTTACGCTCGTTTTCTGGTATTGATTCTTGGACGGGGTGCATGGACCGGATGCCCTCCCCTGAATCTGCCATTTTCGTATAAGAATTACATATATAGTTTTACTTTTATTGTGGCATACATCGACCGTGTGTGTTGGTGGGTGTTTCCCCCGTTACGCATTTCTGGATCCACTCACCCCTGTGGTTAGTACAATATCACGCGAAAACTCGTTCCACTACGTATACGAAGCATAAGGCCTATACACTTACTGAAGACCTCGCCAGAACTACACAGATCTGTGTGGTAATAAGATATCTAAAATCAGACCACGCAGAGTACAATAGTATATGTACATTCCTCGATAGTATAGTGGTTAGTATCCCCGCCTGTCACGCGGGAGACCGGGGTTCAATTCCCCGTCGGGGAGAACATGTTTTCCTTTTGCGGTCTTTAAGAGGCATTAGTAGAAACTTAGAAACTAGTGTGAGCCCAGCAGCCCGCTGAATGGTAGGTCTCAATAGGCAGGCGTTAACCGTCTTTCTTGTGCAGATTACCCGCAACATTCAGTCAGTGAACACACCTACAAAGCAAAACCTTTGGCTCCATGCACAGATTGCGCAAAGCACCCTACAAAAATGTGCAATTTTCTAGTTCACACTGCAATAAAATCGTAATTCACAGTCCTTTGAAATTTTTCTTTTAATCTGGTATTATTCGGTTTCCAGATAAATAAAAGTGTCAATGACACTGTAGCTCACCACAAAAAAGGACACAAATGAGTGAGTGAGAAGAATCATCGACGTACATTATAGAAACAAAGAGCATATATGGGAGAACTCCCATTATATACTCTTGATAATTATGTGTAATTTTTTATGTGAAAATAAATGTTTTAGATGTGAAAGTCTGAGATGTGGGCGAGTGATGGCGTTACACAGAAATGATCGCCATTTAACGTTTTTATAATATTCAGATTTAGGCACTGCCTAAAAGCGGAGCTCCCGATGTGTAACGTGTAAGATTGAGAGGATACGCTTATTCCACATAGCTGTTATATACCACGTGACAATGGTGTTTCCCTGCCCATAACACAACTTTTGTCAAAGGTTAATTGGTTGCATGGAAGTGTTTACTTCGTATGAGTTTTTCTAGGCGGTAGCACACGGTTGCCATCTGTATATCGCAATAATAATTTATAAACCAAAATGAATCACAATTTGTGACGGTAGATGGCGCTGTACCCGCTTTGATGTTTCTTAGCGATGGCGTTCGAAATAAATAGGTTATGCTGCGTTCCGACATGTTTTGTAAAACTTTACTCTAATATAGACGTTTTATCGGCAGGGTGGAGAGGAAATACCAATTTTGCATTAAAGATATTGTCAATGAAATCTTGTAAAACGAACCAGACGAGTGTGACACCACAGACTGTTATCTGCGTGTCTATAACATAATATGCTATATAATTGCCAAAACCTACCTAATTTGCAGAATTTTTTTTTAAATATCAAAACCCCTGGCCCTTATTTATTCACATACCAAAAAAGAGCAAAATCCGTTGAACCTGAACTGACTAATGGCAATTCCCATTTTTGCCAAAAAATTGCCGTGGCTCGAAAGTACGTCGACTGGCGTGCTCCAAAATAAGACGTTCAAATTGGGAGTATAGCAGTAACAACTAAACCCAATTTCAAACATGTGGGTGAAACGGTTACTGAGTTATCGTTGACCGTAGCCAAATATTGACGGAAGGACGGATGGACGGACGGACGTACGACGGACGACGACCCATGGCAATAGCTCATCTGGACGATGTCAAGGTGAGCTAATAAAATGGACCAATCCTGCGTTCCGAAAAGAACCGTTTCCCCCTCCATCAGCATTCAGAGTGCACGCTATAGATATCTTTTCGCCCTCTTTTACATCCCCATCCATTTTCCCCTTCTCCAGCACCTCCGCCCTCTCCAATTCCTATTCCCCGACTCAACACTTTCATTGTTGATAATATCAGATTCGTTATCGTAATTTAGTGTTTATTCACTCCTGATAATATTTTATTATGATTTTGCGACAATGGCCAAATCTCTTTTATAATTTCTTCGATTTTTTCTTATAAGAATTACATAGTTTTGCTTTTATTGTGGCATACATCGACCGTGTGTGTTGGTGGGTGTTTCCCCCGTTACGCATTTCTGGATCCACTCACCCCTGTGGCCTACACGCGAAAAACTCGTTCCACTACGTATACGAAGCATAGGGCCTACACTTACTGAAGACCTCGCCAGAAAGCGCCAAGAGAATACACAGATCTGTGTGGTCAAATAAGATATCTAAAATCAGACGTCTACGCAGAGTAACATAACCTATGTACAAGTTCCTGATAGTAAGGGTTTAGTAAATGCCCCGCCTGTCACGCGGAGACCGCGGGGTTCAATTTCGCGTCGGGGAGAACATGTTTTTAGCTTTTACGATAGTGGTGACATATGACCAGGTACAGTTTGAAATTAAGGTCTAAACCTGAGAAAAGCAGTATATAGTACGCTCGTGTCTACGATTGATTAGTTGCGGACATAGAACAACATTCGTTATGTAAAATTCTGTAACGTGAATCACTTTGTCCCACTAGACACTCCTCTATATAATTGGCGATGCAAGTCCAAGGGGTAGAAGAAACCGCCTCACCGCTTCACTGTCTCCTACGC